CGCGTTTAATGCATTCATCTCCCCCGCCTCGCGTTACTGCAGTCATCTCCGCCTGCTCGCGTTACCTTTTTTTTTTTTTTTTTTTTTTGCCGAATGTTCATCTCCCCCAGCCTCTCGTTACTGCAGTCATTCCCCGCCTCGCGTTACTGCAGTCATCTCCCCCGCCTCGCGTTACTGCACGTCATCTGCCCCCGCTCGCGTTTACTGCAGTCATCTCCCCTGCTCGGCGTTTTACTGCAGTCATCTCCCCCGCCTGCGTTACTGCAGCTCTCTCTCTCTCTCTTCTCTCTCTCTCCTCCCTCCCTCCTCTCTCTCTCTCTCTCTCTCTGTACGTGATGTGTTCTAACACCTCCCCTCCCCTTTCTCTCTAGGTGACGATGAGTGGATGGAGACGGAGGAGGAGTACATGGAGGACCACATTGTCGTCGCCCCGCTCACGCCCGGCACCAAGTACGAGATGAAGGTCGTCGCCGGCAACGGCGACACAGACGACCTGAAGACGGAGAGCGTGCCGCAGGAGGTCATCACCGAGGGCGACGGTACGACAAGTGAACATCCGTGTGTGTGTGTGTGTGCGTGTGCGTGCGTGTGCGTGCGTGCGTGTGTGTGCGCGTGTGCGTGCGTGCCTGGTAGCGTGGTAGCGTGGGGGTGACGGTATGACAAGTGAACATGCGTGTGTGCGTGCGTGCATCTGCGTGCGTGCGTGCGTGCGTGCGTGCGTGCGTGCGTGTGTTGTGCTAAGCCAATGCTCCACGCAGTCGGGAGGAGTCCTGCCTCACCCTAGGGAAACTGGGATGTGGTTAAGTACTGATGACGCCTGCACATAGACCTGCGAAGGTTCGAACCTTTCACTACGCTGGATTCCTCTCCTACGGCCACCTCCGTAGTTCATGTACGCGAACTCCTAGCACTAGGTGGCGCTACTGCCAGTAACGTGGCGTCCGTCTGCGTCGCTCCTCCGTGCGTCGCCGCGGTAACAGAGCGTCGATGTTTCAGATGTCCTGATTCTGTTGCTGCCTCCCTCCTTCCTACCGCCTCCCACCACCACAGTGCTTCCTGGTTCCACCGCCGAGCCAAGCTTTCCTAAATCTCCAGTCGTGCGCTCCCCAGAAGCTAAGCAGAGTGAGTACGTATACCGCTATTGTTGTTCTATTCACCGCTGCTACGCGTCATCGAATAGGTGGTCGATTAATTAATGAATTAACTAATTATTATTAATCAATTAATAATAGATGTAATTATCTAGTCGAGTTATTGATTAGTTTATTGATTTTAAGATCGGTTGTGTACTATTTCATTACATAATCTGCGTGACGAGTCGTTAGTTGATTAATTGTTACCTATTCAAATTAAAGATCTATTACACATTATTTAGTAGCACAATCAATGTAATAAAATAAGAGTCATTGTTACATTAATTGATTGTCTATCTAATTTAAAAGATCTGTAATTTGCGCATTATTATATTGATAAGCCCATAGGAATGATTCCGTCGTTGAATTTCTGTATGAATTAATCGTATTCATGAGTAATTTGATCGTGTAACTTCTCTTAGTTTATGACAGGTGGCTGGCTGTCCACTCTCCACTTTACGAAACTTTTCCCTTTATAATTTCTCCTCCAAACTGAACTTGGTGGTTGGGTAAGACGTCGCACGGCAGCCGCTGTCGTCTTCCTGTCGCGATTCTCCGCTCATGTCGTTTTCACTGGTTTTTTCTCTTACATATTGATTGCACCGGTTCGTGGATTCCGCGACCTTGCTAAACGCGTTTGGTAAGAGATGGGCTGGCTTGCTACACCCTCGCAATCACCCCCCACCTCTAGCACGTCGCCCCCCGACCTGCAGTGTTAATGCTCGCGGGGCGCGCGGCGACGCTGCATGCACGCCCGCCCGCGTTTTTTTCGGTTTCCGACGCATGAGGAATGTTTTTTTGCACGAGTTGTTATTTATTTTGAGCGATTTTAGGTTCGAGACGCGATTGAACTGAAGCAGATGAGCTTCAGCATCATCCCCGCATCCCTGCCTGTGCAGCATCCCTGCGTGCGCAGCTTCCCTGGCTGCGTAGCATCTCCCCCTCCTCACAGCATCCCTTCCCTCTCCGCACCGCATCCGTGCCTGCGCAGCATCCGTGCCTGCGCAGCATCCGTGCCTGCGCAGCATCCCTGCCCATGCATAATCGCTCCCCATGTATCACCTGTGTTCCTCTGCTTGAATACATCCTCGATGCCAAACTTCATGTTCTTTCCTGCGCAGCATCTTCATTGATGCGTTGCAGCATCATCTATTTGCAGCCTCCCCGCCCTTGGTCTTCCTCCTCATCCCTTAGCAGCATCCTTTCGCAGCATCCCCGTGCCTAGTCTTCTCCTCCGCATCCCTTAGCAGCATCCTCGGCTTCAGTTTCAATCATTAACTAGTCATTTTTATTTACAACAATGTTCATTACCCTGATTGAGTTTTGATGCATGATTGGATTTTAATTAAACATACTTTCACGTTTGCAATTCTTTTGTTATTTGATTACCATTTACTTTGTTCGTCTGTATGTCTGTCTGTGTGTCTTTTTGTCTGTCCATCTGTCTGTCTGTTTGTTTATCTGTTTAACTGTCTACCTATTTGTGTATTTGTTGAAAGGTTTTTGGCATTTTGCCCCTTTTTATTGCCAGTCGTTGACTGGTACCTTTGTTTGCTTATTGTATGTAGTTGGTGTTGTACTAAAATTATAACTTGATCACTGAAATATCAGAGACAGTTTTATTTGTAACAGCAGAGTGAATCATAGACTGACGGTATCTTTCACACAGCTCACTGAATCGCACGATGAGTCATTTAAATGGCAGTCTCTCGTGATCGCGCGTAAACTGCATGGAATTGCTACATATATAAGAACTTCTACTACTCTACTCTCACGGTCTCGTAAACTTGCGCGCGAGTTCACCGTCCGTGTTCTTTCGCGCGGATGTTCATCGTCTCCATGGTTACGGTTGCAGCACCGACTGAAGATAGCATAGCGACGGCCGGTTGGTTCATCGGGATGATGATTGCCATAGCGATTCTCATCCTCATCCTGATCATCGTCTGCCTGATCAAGAGGAATCGCGGGGGGAAGTATCCAGGTATGAATCGGTCCCGTATCGCGCCCGAAGACTCGGGTGTAGAGTTTATAATAATTGGTGGTTAATTTGAAATCTTGAAGTTCCCTCTCTCCCGGCTCGCTTTCTCTCTCCCCTTCTCTCTCTCTCTTTTTCCACCCTTGTCCCCTCCACCCTTGTCCCCTCCACCCTTGTCCCCTCCACCCTTGTCCCCTCCACCCTTGTCCCCTCCACCCTTGTCCCTCCACCCCTTGTTCCCTTCCACCCTTGTCCTCTCTTCCCTTGTCCCCTCCAGGCCCTGTGTCCCTCCACCACTTGTCCCCTCCACCCTTGTCCCTCCTCCCTGTTCCCTCCACCATTTGTCCCTCCTCCCTTGTCCCCTCCACCCTTGTCCCTCACCCTTGTCCTCCACCCTTGTCCCCTCCACCTTGTCCCCTCCACTTGTCCCTCCACCTTGGTCCCCTCCACCTTGTCCCTCCACCCTTTTCCCTCTCACCTTGTCCCCTCTCCTGTTCCCCTCCACCCTTTGTCCCCTCCACCCTTGTCCTCCACCTTGTCCCCTCCACCCTTGTCCCACTCCACCCTTGTCCCCTCCACCCTTGTCCCCTCCACCCTTGTCCCTCCACCCTTTGTCCCTCACCTTGGGCAGGACAGTCCCTCCTCCTTTGTCCCTCCACCTTGTCCTCTCCACCCTTGTCCCCTCCACCCTGTCCCTCCACCCCCATTTCCTCACCCTTGTCCAGGCCCCTTGTCCCCTCCACCCTTGTCCCCATCACTTGTCTCTCCACCCTTGTCCCCGCCACCCTTGTCCCCTCCCCCTTGTCCCCTCCACCTTGTCCCCTCCACCCTGTCCCCTCCACCCTTGTCCCCTCTCACCCTTGTCCCTCCACCCTTGTCCCTCCACCCTTTGTCCCCTCCACCCTTGTCCTCTCCACCTTTGTCCCCCTCCACCTTTGTCCCATCCACCTTGTCCCTCCACCCTTGTCCCTCCACCCTTGTTTCTCTTCACCCTTGATCCCCTCCACCCTTGTCCCGGTCCCACCCTTGGTCCCCTCCACCCTCTGTCCCTCCACCCTTTTCCCTCCACCTTGTCCCTCCACCTTGTCCCCTCCACCCTTGTGTCCCCCACCCTTGTTCTCTCCTCCCTTGTCCCCTCCACCCTTGTCTCCACCCTTTGTCCCTCACCCTTGTCTCCTCCACCTTGTCCCTCACCTTGTCCCCTCCTCCCTTATGGGCGAGTCCCCTCCACCCCTTGTCCTCACCCTTGTCCCCTCCACCCTTGGTGTTGTCCCTGCCACCTTGTCCCTCCACCCTTGTCCCCTCCACCCTTGTCCCTCACCTTGTTCCCTCCACCCTGTCCCTTCACCCTTGTCCCTCCTCCTTGTTCCCTCCACCCTTGTCCCCTCCACCTTGTCCCCTCCCCCTTGATCCCCTCAACCCTTTGTCCCTCCACCCTTGTTCCCCTCCACCTTGCCCCTCACCCTGTCCCTTCCCCCTTGTCCTCCACCCTTGTCCCCTCCACCCTTGTCCCCTCCACCCTTGTCCCCTCCACCCTTGTCCCCTCCACCCTTGTCCTTCTTCTTCTTCACGTTTCTTCTTTCCGTGTTCCCTTCCACATTATTATAACTTTATTTTTCTTCCACAGTACAAGAGAAGGAAGCTGCTCTAGGCAAGGACCCGGAGAAGGGCGACGAAGACGGAGGCTTCCCGGAGTACAACAAGCCGTGAGTGCATAAATAAATAATAAAGTTTATCTCAGTTGGATCCAAAATAAGTCGGTTATAAATACTTACAACGACGAAGCATTATTTATAACTTATTTTTGATCGAACTGAGATAAACTGTATTTTTAAGAGAAACTATAGAGATCCGAGGAGATATGTTCAGATCGTAAATAAAGGGTATATTATTCACGTACCGCCCTGTATCATACAGGTTACACGACATGTGCTATATAACTTCCAGGATAGAGGAAATAGGCGATGACACCTACCGACTGCCTACATTTCAACTACAATACGATGGGTTTTACGTGCAGAAAGCTGTTCCCTTAACACCAAATCTCGCTCAGACAATAGCGTGTCGATGCATAATTACGTTCCACGTGTAGTTCCAAACGATAGTTCTGCGCTGGCACTCTATGTCTCTAACATGTGTACACGTTTATTTTCTTCTCAAAAATAAACATCAATTAATCATTAACAAACGTGTTGCGGCGAGTCACGCAAACGAAAGTTCCACAGGAGGCGCCCCGTGCAACGCGCACGCGCACGCAACATACACACACGCGGGTGGTGCAGCGAGCTGGTGAACAAGCGGCGTTGAAGCTGTGTTGAACATTATACGCGTGCATCACGATATCATCACACCGCGGACCATCGGCGATTAGAGCGCTTGAAATTACTAAGTAGAGAATCAACCGTGGCTCCCCCTACGTGGCCGGCGCCGCGCCGCGTTCTCCGCCCCTGCGCGGATCTGGCTAGATTATCACAGACGCGTACGCGGAGCGGGTGCGGGCGGGCGGGGGGGGGAGGTGTCGCTCACCGATGATTCAGAGCGGCAGCAGCAGGCAGCGTCACCAAACAATACGCAGCAGACGGTTACGGCCGGCAACGACCGCCAGGTCACAGCGGAATAACGGATCGGTAACATGGGCAAAGCTTGCCAGGCATCGCTCGACCGCACCGGACCCGGGACGGTGACGGGGGAGATGGACTCGGCCCGACCGTCACTACTCCGGCGACTGTCCGAAGGGGGAATTACAGACTAGTGGCCCTTCCCGGGCTGCATCCCGACACGCACGGGCAGACACTACACGAGTAAAGCTGGGGGCGGTCGCCCGCGCTAGTATGATGGATGACTGCTACGCGGCCACCTGCTCTCTATACACAACCACCGACCATCCTATGCGCACGGCAGCATGACTCTTATCACACAACACCGGACCACCCTAGCGCAGGAGCCATGACTCTCACACCAACCACGCGACGCACCCTAGGCGCAAGGGCAGCATGACTCTTACACACAACATCCGACCAGCCTGCGCAGGCAGGCATGGTACCCTTACACACAACCACCGACGCAGCCTAGCGCAGCAGGCTACCACGGCTGTAGCCGAAAACACGTCACCGTGACGACACATCACGGCGCGCACGATCGCACACCCGGCGACTGCCCGCATCCCAGTGTGAGTTTTTCATGCTAATCTTTGTTTGAACAGATGCGCAGAAGGCACATCCCGGGGCAGCATCACCAGTGACAGAGCACAGTCACGTACGGTTTCTCTCCCGCTGTCGTTCTCGCCAGCTAAGCTACACGACTGCACTGCAAAGCACAGTAGATGAAGAATGATCGTATGATGATATGCGCGAATAAACGTGCACTAAAATAAATTAAAATATTAAAACAATGCCACGTAAAAAAGATTGACTGTGAATCTATTGAATCTCTAATGTTTATTATTTTAAGGTTTCTGCGTCACTTTGACACTAATTATTTTTTTGCAAAGGCTTTTGTCCAGAAGTGACCATGCAGTACTTAATTGACTTAGTATATTCTACTACAATCAATTTTTAATCACTCTCTTTGGGAAGGCTGTTGTCCCCGTACTTTTTAATTCTACTCTACTAAAAGGTAATGTTTGGTTATAATTGGGACCCTATATTCACCATTAGTAATCCATTGGCAATTCTCTATCTTCTAGGCATTTGACCTATTACTTGTTATTATTTTAATTATCTGTTAATGCTGATTGTTGTTATATAAAATTAAGAAAAAAAAGCCACGATATGTAATGGTGTTAAAATGGCTTTGTTTAATACATTGTCAATATTTTGGTAATCGATCGAAGGAATCTATTGAGAGGCTATATCGAGATCGTTTAATCGCGCGAGAGATGATGTGTATCGTTACAGGCCCTAGAACTACGAAGCATGCCTAATCACACGTGACACGTACCAATAGTTTCGTGGCATACAGTTAGGCCGCTGTGTGCGAGACTGCAGGGCCGACGGTAGCGACGGCGCCTGCCGAACATAGGTCTCCGCCGTTCGGACAGCCCGCACTCACATGCTTCTGTGACGTCATGTTGGTTGACACGTAATCCCGGCACTCACCACTGCGACAATCGAAACGGACATGTGATTATTATGCGTAGTTCATACGGTAATTAATCGTAGATAACAATAGGGTATGTATCATTAATGCGCGTTAGTTAACGAGGAGAAAAGTCGGCTACGCTTGTGACGCAGCCGTGAGGTCGGCTCGAGCGAATCAAAATATTCCCAAGATGCAGTAAACCACATGAGGTGCTGCTAAGGAAACTTGCGACAGTATCCCGGCAATTCACAGCACGTGTGTGGCAGTAGAGCGAAAAAGTCAGATAGAGGGGAGGAAAACGACAGAGTGGGAGGGGAGAAGGATAAAGAGAGAAGAGAGCGTGAGTGGGACAGAAGTCATGAAAGCTGGAGAAGAAAATCGGCGTGAGACACAGAAGAAAAAGTAAATAATTATATATATATAAAGAGACAAGACAAACAGCAGAGATGGAGCGGAAAGAGAGAAGAGCGAGAGAAGCCAAGCCGACGACGACCACCATACTCACCTGGAAGCTGGATGCGCCTTCTCTTCGTATTCCTATATCAGTATTCGCGAGAAGAAACACACGAACGCTTTGGTGCGCTATATGTCGTCATAAACGGCTAGTAGAGGACAAGCGGCAGGGAAGGCGATGTTGATGATGAGGCCTCGCTTGCGCTTCAACCATCTGTCAAGAAGAGCAATACGAATCGTGGCCGTCTACGCGCAGCGCTTTCCGACCGCGAGAGGCCGCTTGGCAGTGCAGCATTGGTGAGTGAAGATCCCGCGCACAGGCCACGCGCATGCACGCACACGCACGACCAACACACCACGCACGCCGCACGCACGATGTGCCACGCACGCCGCACAACGCACGCACGCATGCACGCCACGCCACGCACACAGCTGCACGCAGCACGACACGCACATGCCACGCACGACGCGCACGCACCGGCACGCATCACACACACGCACGCATGCACGCACACGGATAGAACGACACGCAACATGCACGCACGCGCACCGAGGCACGGCGACACGCCACGCATGCACGGCTACACGCACGGACTGCACATGCACGCATGCACGCGCGCGCACACGCAGCACGACGGACGCATGCACACGCACACACACGCATGCACGCAACACCGCACGCACCACGCAGCGCATGCCACGCGGCACGCCCCACACAAATGCACGCACGGCGCACGCATGCACGCAGCGCTATGCACGCACACGCAGCGCCAGACGGAAGCACGCGCACGCACGCACACACACGCACAGCGCACGCACACGGACGTAACATACAGAAGGCACGCACGTACGCACGCCACGCACGCACGCACGCACAAGCACACACCAGCGGGCGTAGCCAGACTTTTCAAAAGTTGTAGGCACGACTACTCTAGCGCGATGCGCCACCATGTTTGCGCCGAGCGATACTGAATAAATATTTTGCGTTTTACAACCCTCCCAGATGGCCGGAAACGCCCTTCCGAGTTGTTCATTTGGTTCCGCTTGGGCCTCCTTGCTATACTTGAGACACCTCATTCAATATCACTTTTAAACCAAAAAACTAACGAGTTAAAATAGTGTTAGCGAACGATGTTAAAATGGTTAAAAAATGACAAAATCGGATCTCCTAAGACTTTTTCGGCGGGTAGAGTGTTGAATGAAACGGCAGCGCGATAGAAATGACAGCCTAGATGACAGAAAGCAATAGGTACCTATATTTAGCCATATCTTGCTACGTTCATTTCAATAGTTTTTCCTGTCTAGATCTTAACTCGTCCAGCAAGCTATGGATTTGAATTATGGGTGTTGTAAAAAAAATGATAACTTGGCCCAAAAAAATATGTGTAGGCCCGGGCCTACAGTGACTACATACTGGCTAAGCCCGCCAACCCCCGCCCACGCAGCTATGGAAGCGAGACAAAGTTGCGTAGGTTCCAAAAAGCTTATTGTATTGGTTCTTGCGAACACAGTGCGTCTAAACAGAGGAATTGCTCGCGCCGTGTGATATGCGAGGATAAAAATATGAGATTCGTCGACGTTTCGTTTTCAGTTTGACATTTAGCGCGCTACGACTCGAGTATGAGCGATAACCGCGGTTAACATATTTTGCTCATTAAATCTTGACTAATCGAGCTTATAAACTCAAATTCACAGAGATTAAGGCTAAACCATGTGTCTTAATAGCTAAATTGCTATAGCAATTAATGTAACGTCAAATCGGTTTGCGCCATATGATAGTTTTATAGGTAGGCCTACACTGTCTTTACCGGTCGTAGCGTAACATAGCGTTATGACCGGGGGTATGCAATAATGAAAACGAAAAGCGTAACCGAATATCTATATTTTTCCTCAAATCACCAGGTCGAAGGCAATTCCTCTGACATGTCTTTTCGAACAAGCCAATCGCCTCTCCTCGTGGATTTCTTTCTAACTTAAGTAAAGACGGCCACCAAAGAACAGATGCCTTATGCTTATGTAATAATTTGGCCTACCTTAAACCTTACGAGGGATATAGGATTTACACCTAAGGTAGTGCCTGTTTT